AAAAGGTTACCATGACGGACTGCCACGCAGAGGGATTCCCAGGCCGGGATAAATATTTAGATGGCCTAAATTTATTTTTTTCCTGAGTTTGGGTGCAATTTGTTGTTTCCCTAGGCTATGTTGTTGAGCGTGTGCGATATTTTTTTTTTTTTTAAATGTACGTCATCTACCCTTCACGACATGAAATAAATTATATAAGAATGGACGCTTGTCGCCTATTCCATTAAAGCATGGAAAACACAGTAAAATATGAAGAGTCTGTATGGTAGAATCTTCGCCTAAACAAACAAATGGGTGGGTAAGACACATTGGTTGTTGAAACACATTTCTTCTCAGCTATACTTTAATAGATAATGACCCTAACTACTGACACATGACTGTCAACATTGCCAGAAGCAAGCTACAAAAATAATCAACAGCCGGTTCGAATTGCCCTTGATAATATCTGACCGACGTCATACCCACCGGATAAGATTTATATATTTTTATTAAGTCTGAAATATGGCGAAGGAACGCAAAATGTCATGGCCAGGCCAGCGCTCGGAATGCTATTACATTGGGGGGTTGGCGTTCCTACCTCATCGGCATGCAGCCTAACCCACGTTTCGTTTTAAGAGCTCATAAAATCTTGCCTTTGTTGTTAAAGTTGCAAAGCACTTATCCCATTGATATTTTACAGTATCGGGATATCTTAAAGTTTATTGAGCAAATGCCTCTTTTTCGAAATTTTATAGGCACAAGAGTAGTTATTAAGTATTTATAATATACAAGTATTAATAATCCACACATATACGCATGACGTACGTAACAATCCGATTATATCTAAGGTATACTTAAATATATACGCACATTTCGACTCGTCCGTAGAACAAAGGTCTATGTGCAAGACTACTTGTTCTCGGGACATAGTACATTTCGTTCGTTCTTCTTCGCTGTGGATGTCAGATCGACTTTTGTTCGATGTTATATTTCCGAAACGAAATAAGATATATAAATTTTCAAAACACCTTTACATAAGCCTTAGTTTCATTAACGAAATTGTTCTCGTAACGTACCTATTCTCTTTTCGCTATATAATCACATCGGACTCTGTTCTTCGGATGAGTCGATTTGTGGGTAGCTCTTTCATCCTACCCGCCGCTGTCAGGGCTTGATAAATGTTAGGCTATTAGGATGCAAGGACGAGACGGTCATTTGAGCTCAAACTACTGTCAATATTATGTCTTTTTTTTTCAAATTATGCATATTCTTAATTAAAAGCTTACGAGTTAGAACAAGAAACGTCGTAGTTTACCTTCACAGTTGATTTTAAACATGTCGATTCGTCAGAAAACCCGCTCTTTCGTCTCATGCCAAAGCAGCACGTTAGCGCTCTGTGGGCGGACTCTACATTTACACCATAAATTTGAGCATTGCTATTTTTAGTTCAAAACCATAAAGTGAGCGAGAGTCATGAAACTTTCAATCGTAGGCGGGGGGAGGCGAATTTACAATTACATATTAAGGAAAAGGGAAACCCGTAGGCGTCCCGTCGGGAATTGTAATGTTTACACTTTATCATTGTACGTTGCTTTGTTACAGACAGTAAACAATGTAAACCTTGAATGGTTGTTTACAAACGTTTGAAAAAACATTGGTTTTTATTATAGAAATCGCTTAGAAAAACTGAATGTAATTTAGTGAACGGCTCGTTCATAGCATGCGCAAAGTTGCATGAATGGAGCGCTCGTTGTGACCCGATGACGCCCCACCGCACCGCGTCGCCGCGCCGCGGCCGCCCGCCGCCGCAAGGTTTCACCGTCTAAATGCATTATGCCTATAACTCGGTTAGCTAACTGCTATATTATTGGCAGTCACGAGTGAAAAACGATGAATGAGCGAGTTTATTAACCAACCAAAACGCACAATTGTTGAGCAAATTTTGTTGTAGCGTATTCAATTTGGAATATGTTGTGTCGGTAAAAATGTTGTTCAATCTACAATTTGACTATTGGGTGTGAATGCGATCGTTTAGCGTATTAGTACTAAACAGTGATTCCAGCTAAACAAACCCGCCAACTCGTTCATGAATGGAAAATTTGACATTGACTAGCCATTATCATCATGCCAAGCTTCTATTCAAATATTAATAAGATATGGTATCGTGAGTCTTTGTATTATATTACAAACACGAGATTGTTTGAAGCAATAGGCATAATATGACTAAATGCAGAAGTATTAGTATGGAACGTGACTAACAAGTCTGTTGGTGACTACATTTTTAAGTAGTGTCCATTGACATTGCTTACACAAACATGATTACTTATTCATTATAAAAGATCAGTTTTATGGATAGTGAGTTGGTAACACTGATTTATCGGTCCAAAGCCAATCCAAATCTACAACACTAATTCTATATATTTCATTTTACAAAAATTAAAAAACATTACAGTATAAATATTATAAAATCAAATAAGTCTTTTTACGCACGCCGATCATTCGTCATACAGAAATAAGTAAAACTGTGTGTACAGTTCGTGCTGCGTGGTTGCTTGTGACATTTAATAAAAGTATGAATTTTAACAAAACTACGTACGTGCTATTGCTGAACAAGAGTGTTCTCTCATGGAGGAGTCTATAATACTATACCTCAAACAATTAGCACTTAATAACACAAGCAGACAGCGATGGAATTAAAATGGTTCTGCAACATAATTTTACGAAAATTAACCTGAGCGAAACATTGGTAAACCACTATAATTTATTTTGATTAGTTAGTATCCAAATTACAATAAATCTCTGTATATATGGAGTGCGTGGAATATTATCTGTAGTTAGGTTGTGGCGGTGGCAATTTTGTTGCTAACTAATTTCATATCCAGTACACGTGTACAGTCTACGTGCGGAGTCTTATTTTTAAAGTATCTATTTCAATAATGATATAAGTGTACTTGTTATATTTCCTTTGATCTATTTCGAGCGGTAACTAGGAAAAGCACAATTATGGTTTCTGTTGTAAAAAGCACTTGAGGTCCCTAAAGACTTTTGTTTTAATATTTTGCAACATTTGTCTTATGTTTTTTGTTATCATTGAAGCCTGTTTCATCCCACGCTGCGTTTAAAGTTCAAATGTTGGCTATGTAGTTGCTCAAAACACGGTATAACAACTTCCGGCTGCTTTATTAGCATTTTCCAAATGGCCTTTTCTGCTTTGTTTGCTCGAACAGTCGTCTAATCTTCCTTAAACCACATATGGGTTCTTTGTGTGGGATGATTGAAATAAACGTTATGGAATTTCCTACCTAATGTAATTAGTTCTGGACACTCAGTATCCTTGAAAATTACATCAAAACATATGTATAGTTGAACGTAGAAGTCCTAATTTAGCAATATTTTCATATAAAGCTTTAAAAGTCCGGTCTGTTTTTCTTATCAAGGACAAAAATAGTTTCTACTCTATAAAATGGAAGAAATAGTTTCCCATTGAGGTTCCCACGAAACCGGCATAAATTAAAAAAGCTCATCATACATCAAGATCGGTTATTGAGAAAGCCGGTATCCAGTTGATGCGGCCGGCCAGGGGCAGGACTAGTGAGGGACCGGATACTAGATCCCGTATCCGGATTATATTTAGCAAAGTTAACGACTTCTCTTAATAAGTAGCCAGTATCTAGTACCTTTCATTCAATTTTAGAATGTGTATATACCTACGTTTATTTTTGTTACACGACGCTTATTGAACATCTAAGGCTTACTACCAAAAAAAGCTGCATTTCTGTATTCTACATATTTGTTAAGCAGAAACTCAACTAGCAAAAAAATCATAAATCTTTTAAAATATTTACGCTAGTTATATCGTCCATGGAGTATCATTGTACTTTTTAAAAAATCCACTAATTTAGTGATGTATTACACAAAATTAATAAATCCGTTACACTACTATATTGAATATCATCTTTCATATTATCTTTGTATCAATAATAATAATAACCATTACACGTTTTAACTAGGTGGATAGGCAGCATTAATAGCATCTTTAAGGTCGTCGGTCGACTTTTCCGTCGACAAGTGATTAAGGAAAACGTCTCACGCGCATGAAATCGGATTCCCACGCGTGGGCGGTTTCCTCGTTGGCGCAATTAAACCGGCGCGTAATAAGCGACATCATAATACCTCGCTATCTGCTTGTCAATGCTTTCGTTTGTTACCGGGAAATAAGATAAAATACTGATTGAGAGCAGCGAGGAAAAAATTTGTCGCTTGACAACTCAGATAGACATGTGAAACTAAGGAGGATGTCCCCCTATTCATTGAAATACTTTATTATTAATTTGAAGTAGTATTTCGTCGCCTTACTTTCGCAAACTCGTATCTTAAAGCACAAAGTAACTGAAACGCAAAAAATGCATTGCATATACAAATTTTGCAGGCTGATTTCACATCACTTTTCCTTCATATTCACTCACTGGCTTTTAACTATTCTTAATGCGTCCAAATTAACACCCTTGACAAGTAATTTAAAATAAACAGAAAGGTTTGCCATCGATTTGGCATTTTCTTCACGCATTAAATAATAGGTAAAGAGCACGAAAACCTGCAAGTAATTGTAGTTATCATTACGTAACGGCTTATTAAGATTCTTAAGCAATGAATTCAATGTATTCCAGTTAAAACGAGGCTTTACTCATAAGGACGACGATTAATTGGAATAGAAGTGATTCAGTTAAATACTGGGAACAGGAAACGGTCTGTTAGTCATTACGAACCGGTCGAGATGCGCAGCGGTTTGGGAAATTCTTGCAACATGCTTGTTACGTTACTATGCGCCTCTAACTTAAAGCAAGTAACGACGACTACCTGTGATATGGTTGTTACACCCATATTCATTATAATGTTGCTATAGTGAAAATAACCTATAATTCCAATAACGACGTTAATTTTACGTCTAGCTACATTTACACTATAGAATATATTTCGGTAACGTGGAACTGTGTGGTGCGCTTAAGAGGTATAGGACTTACCGTAATCCCATAAGAGGCAGGTGCGGGACGTGCTGCGCGCCGGCCTCGCTGCACCACTCCGGATAAGTTCGGTGAAACTCCGTGAAGTCACCTGGAGCAAAACACACATTCTCAGCACACTTTCCTCGACTTCTCGCATATTATAATAGAATTTTATTTCATTAATAACAACAATGCGTAATAAATCGCATTCGCCACAATACATTACAATTTTTGTAAGCACGAATGCAATACACCAGACGCTGATTTCTATCGTTTGCAATTGTTAGAAGATTGTCGTAAGAACAATTTTATTTCATTCATTGTTTTAGTCTCATTGACATTCGTGTTGAATGGAGATCGTAAAATACGCGGAGTTTCGAGGGTTGTTAAATGTGACTTTGGCGATGCGGGCGACACAATTCGAGACTAGCTGATATTAGCGGCGCCGAGACGTATCAAATTCATTTGTTACTTTTATGAAAACTGAAACCTTAAGAACTAATGTAATGAGAACCAGAAGTTGTTTAGTAGCAGTAGAGCTCCTTGTGAAAGAGTTCGTCCAGGGAAGTACTGCCACCTTACCTATTTCTGCCGCCGAGCAGTAATGTGAGCATTACTGCGTTCCGGTTTTGAAGGTTAAGGATGCTGATGAAATTACAGGCACATGGGACTTGTCAACTTATGTCTCAGGGTAACGAGTGCAGCGCGAGTGTCCCTCAGATCTTTGCGATTTAAGGTTATGAGTAGCACTGGAACTGTTATGGCGTGTTGCATAACACTAGGCACACGACTTGTTCGTCCCGTCAATTGGGAATTAAAAAAATTAACATTTAAACCACAGAAGCGATTTCAGATTGGGTAGTGATAAATGATTTTATATACAAAAAAGGCAGATATGTTGCTAGCATAAATATAGGAGTTACTAGCGTCCACATAATGAAAAGTCGAAAACCAGTCAATTGATCGACGACCTCGCAATAAGTCTTCGAGCAGAGATGAAATTGACATTTGTAAAATTGTGTAATTTTATTCATCTTTCAAGAAAAAATCTTTTTGACCGACTTCAAAAAAAGGAGGAGGTTCTCAACTCGACTTTATTATATTTTTTGTATGTATGTTACGCGATAACTCATAAGCATTTATGAACCGATTTTGGTGATTCTTTTTTGTTGGAAAGAGGGTACCTCACTATTTATTGGTCCCATTTAAGTTTGAAAAAAATATTCCACTTTTAAGGGTAGCAAACTAGGGGATGAATCCGGTTTCGCAACAATATAACGTAGTTATATTGTGGTGAAAAAATAAAGAAAGTTATTATTATTATTATTAATGTCATTAATGTTTAATAGCGAGTAAACAATTTATTAAACTTAATTTAAAAGATATATTTGACTTATAAATATTTTTCAATTTGTTTAATAAATAACAAAATAAACTAATTTTCCTTTTCGATTGTGTTTTACTTCTTATTTACTTTTCGGAATGTTCATTCTGTTCAACAAAATCATAATCATCTTTGTCTCGTCAATTCGGATGACGCACGATTTGTAAAAAAGTTTCTACAGGTTGTGCGACAGATTTCAAACATCGATTCCTATGAACATAACATAATATCTTTGTGTAAAAGTTCAAAGGTAGTAATAAAAGCTCCGAGATGTAAATTAAAAACGAGGTTATTGAAAATTATTGAAATCTTTTGGTTATTGATTGGATTTCTTGGTTATTGAAATTTACTGGGTTATTTACTAATCTGCCGAAAACTTTTGCGCAAATAACAATATTGAAACAGCCGAAACGAATACTGAAATACATGCATATATGTATAACTCACGCCCTTGTCCCAATACTGAAAGTTCCGAATAATCTTGCTGACGTAATTCTTACTCCATAACCAACTTTATTCATATTTTACTGAAAACATTTGCTAGCCATTTTTATTGTAAAAGACCTATTATAAATCTAAAAGCAATCTCATACAGTTCATAATCTTCGGTGCTTGTTAAACTATACCAGTATACCATATTATACGGAAATGTTATGAGTGACATCATAGGAACTCCTAAGAAATATCAATAGCAACAACAATCATTTTATGTAATAGATAAAACTGAAATTTTAAAATGATATAGTTGGACACTAAGTGGACGGGGGCAGTTGAAATTAGAAATGAGTAGTGGCATGGGAAATGAATTTCTGTCCAGAAAAACTTAGGTATTTATAAAAAAAAACCAACAACGAAGTCTAAGGCGGTTGCTTCGCTTTGCTTTGCGACCGCCATAGACTTGTAATCTATATTAATAATATGTAGCGATCATTTTAATTTTGCCGGCTTCGCCTCAGCTCACTGCCGATTGATTTGTTTTTCGGAACTTTTATCATATCCCTCTTAGAATTTGCACACAGTAGTGACATCGAAGAAGTGCAACATAGATTTTTTAAATAACTTTCTTGGCAGCATTGCGACTGCAGACGTTAAAGAAGGAATGGAAGCGGATTTGTAAAGTATGCTTTGATAGCGTGTTTCATCTGAAATAATGAGGCGTTTACAGTACAGGCACGTTTTAATTGATAGGCGTTGAAGGTTCCTAGAACAAGGCTGTACCGGTGGGCGCTCGTCATGTCGCGCCAGTCGGTGGTAACAGCTGCGTTTCCGTCGCCAACGCCAGCTTCCTGCCCACCGGTCGCTCGTGCTAGCCAGCCTATTGTAATGCTAATGTAGCCCCCATTATGTCCATCACGTGTACACAGTGACGAGTTACAATTACAAACTCCAATACACATACGTCGGTTAAACGCACAGACGCATGATGTTAAGGTAATTGCAACCGCCAAAGTAGAAATAAATAGATAAAGTAATCGCGACATGCAATCATCTTAATAAAAGCAAAGTTAAAAAATGTAGCTGTCGTTATGGATTTCATCTTAACAGCGTTACGTTCTGGGTACTCGTGGTTTTCCCTGGCACTAGCCAGGGAGTTGGGAACAGACAATAGGAAAATAAACTAGATATCACAGCTAAGCTAAATAAAACGAAAACCTGGGATAATTCATACAAGTAGGTATCGAGGTAGGTTTAAGAGTGTTCTATTATTTATAACGTTTCTATGTAGTTTTATGCAATAAAACTCAAATTTCCATTCCCATATAAGTATAAAACATATAATAAGAACTTAGCTATTCATTCCAATGAACGTGTGGATTGAGTCTCGGTTATGTTTATTTCGTCATAGAAATTCGGTCGCTTGCAGACTTGCAAGGGCGGACGGTCGGCAACACGCAGCCGCACGGCGCGGGCGCGGGCACGAGCGCGGGGCGGCGGCGGCGGCGTGGAATCGATCGCCTCGCGGTGACTCACGGCGCCCATTCATCCGCCGCACTCAATGAATCCCCTCCCCCTGCCCCGGGCTCTCTTCCCCCCGTAAGCAAGGACTCCATTAAAGTTACCCCTTGCTGCGTGAGTCGAATCCTTCCAACGATCTACCCACATGATTCAAAATGTAATCTTTTTGCTCCCACCCGTTTGGCCAATCTTGACCGCCTCGCCCACAACCCACGATTTTAGTTGGCTTAAATTACAATGATTATTTACAACAAACAATAATATCTGAGTAACTACCTCTAAGCTCCTTTTTACTTCATAAGAGCGCTTTGGAAGTAGGCAAGTAGGTTTAAACCTCTAAAAAGAGCAAGGAACATTGCGTTTCAAACTAGGTAACGTTGATATAAAATTGAGGCTATAATGTGGAGAACAGAAGTGGCATAAGGGTGGTGAAATGGCGCGGAATCCCGGGCGCGGGGCACGGGGGAGGTGCGGGCGGCAGGTGCGGCACGAGGCCTTGGCCCACGCGCGTCCTTCCCGCGGCGTTCATCAACAACCTTGCACAGCTAGAGTTACTCCAGCTTTCCATCATTCTACGTTATTATGTATTGTATCCAGTAATCGGAATTGAGGAAGTTAATTTAGCTAAAGTAAAGAATATCGTGTACATTCCCTTCTACAAATCCCGGGACTTCTCGGATCTGATTATATTTGGATATGCATATTATTTATTAAAATGTGAGTAAATTGGCAACAAATTATTATTTCTTATTAAGTACTTGCTACATGTCATTGTCTCAAAAAATAATATTGTACTTGTGTTACTTGTAGGTACTTATGTAATTAAATACTTTAGCCATTTACAAATAAATATGAGACAACCTATATTTTTGATTGTTTAGAAAATAAACAGTAAAATAAGAAATTTTATATGCATTAATGACTAAATAGGTATGTTCACACTAAGAAAACGATCATACTTTAAATACATAGATTAACTCCCTTAATTCGGATCACTGATTATATCGAAGCAACATTTACAAAGGTAAAAACACAATTGGCCAAGAAAGAGGCAAAATCAATAAAACTGCGACTTAACACAACATGACTTAAAGTCAAATAATATTAATGTAGTTTACTACTTACTTATTTCATCGTAACAAGCGAACGGCGAAAGTAGCTAAGTTATGGTGCCTTAAATAAACTTTAATTAAGCCAGTTGTGACAATTTAAGTCAATTTCAGAACATTATGAGACGAGTGACTTATTAATATGATTGCACATTAACGGACCTCGATTGACTCCAGCCCGAACTGAAGTCAGGTCAATTACATCTGTTTCACTTATTGATTGTTAAATTGAGTATCGATACTTGGACTATAATTTCTTAAACTCAACAACTAGTTATTAATATATCTTCAACACACGAACAATCTGGTTAGTGTTAGAAGCAGCTTTTGAGATGCGCGCCTGTTGAACTTAAAATTAGATGGTATTAAGAAAACAATAGTGATAGAAACATTGCTTGAAAAATTACCAGTTCCAGGAATCGATTGACGTCACTGGATTCAAGTAAAGTCAGCTTCTTGGAAACAACGCGTGTACAAAGGAAATACGTATGATAATAATTCGAGTTTGGGAAACATTATTCGAGATAATCAATAACTTCATCCGAATATTTGTGTTTTAGTTCTCATCCGAATATTTGTGATTTAGTTCTGCATTAAAACACTAATATTTCGAATATGTAGAAGAATGGAACTTATTTAAAAATAAATTGTAGTTGAAAA